AAACCATGTGGGAAGGGCATAAACAAAACCTGACATTCTCCCAGCTCTCGCATTTTGCTYGTGGGGGCCTTCAGCACCTTCCAACRMAGCCCCAAAACACACTGGGGRCTCCCAGYGGRGCACACGCTCAGTCCAGAGGGCATCCCAGTGCTATCATTCACTACCAAGGACTTCCGAGGTTGCCCAACCTCCCTGCATCCCCTCTGTGCCCCCCTCCACCACAGGATGGGCACCATCCCCCAGACCCTCAGCCTGCAAAAATCTTGACATTTCCCCCCCACTCCAGCTCTTTGACCATTTGATCTTTCCCCAGCACACTGAACCACATCCTGAAAARGATGGGTATTTTTCCTCCAAATGCTTGAATTTTGAATAGGTTTAATTTATGTGTTTTGTTACTGTCCCAGCCTCCAAATTCCTCCTGCTCCAGGCTGCAACTTGGGGCATTTTGGGATGAAAAACTGGTGGGAGAGGAGGAAGTGGGAAAAGGAGATGGAAGCACAGATACTGACCCCTTCCAAAGGCWCTGCTGCAGGAGCKGGAAGGGGCTGAAAAAAACTCAATAAAATCACTGAAAAGTGCTTACAAGGCACCAAAAACTACAACTCACCTAAAGAATTCCATTGCTTCCATAGGGCTCTGCAATGTCACAGTGGATTTTGTTGTTCCATGGGGCCCTGTAGTGTGATGATGAATTCCATTGTTTCTGCGGGGCCCTGCACTGTCACAATTAATTCCATTGGTTCCGTAGGGCCATGCAATGTGACATTGGATTCCGTGGTTCAATGGGGTGTGTAGTTTCACCATGGATTCCATTTCCCCATGGGTCCATGCAGTATCACAATGGATTCCATTGTTCCATAGGGCCCTGCAGTGTCACAATAGGTACCATGTTCCATGGGGCGTTGCAGTGTCACARTGGATTCCATGGTTCCATTTGACCATTGGTGTCACAATGGGTTCTATTGGTTCCATAGGGCTTGGTAGTGTCACAATGTTGCAGTAGAGACGGACAAYACGACACAAAAAAATGAGCAAAAGACACACAGACAGACTGACAGACCGACCGACTGCTTTATTATGGGGCTGAGCCCCTTTTATCTATTTAGCAACAGGTATATACTAAGTCTTCCGCATAAATGGCAATTGTCTATTGGCTAGTTAGCAGCCCCTTCTCTACTCATCAGCATATGATTGATGTGTTGTAAAAGCTGTGGTGTTGTTAATTCTCGCAATTTTGCTCTGTCTTTGGCATCTACCCTACCCGACCGCTCCTCTTCAACATTCCATTCTCCTTTTCCCACAGACAGTCRAGGCCGCTCAGTCGCGTTGCTTTGGTAACATCCTCGTCTGTCTTGTCCTCCTCCATCCAGGCTCAGAATCCCTTTTGTTTTTGCAGAACTCAGGGGTACACWATTATYGGCTGAATTTCAGCTTCAGCACCTGCAAGGCCRCAGTGCCGGCTTTCAGCCTCCACATCACAATGGGTTCCAATGGCTCCTAGGAGACCTCCATTGTGACAATGAATTGCACTGGTTCCATGGAACCCAGCACTGACACAATGAATTCCATTGGTTCTGAGGGTCAGACATTGCAATGTCACAATGGATTCTGTGGTTTCATTGGGCCCCCCGGTGTCACAATGGATTATGTGGTTCTATGGGCCTCTATATTGTCACAATGGATTTTGTTGGTTTCACAGGGCCCTGCAGTGCCAATGAATTCAATTGGTTCCATGGAGCCCCATAGTGTCACAATGGATTCCGTTCTATGAGAGCCTGCAGTTTCACAATGAATTCCATTGCTTCATGTTGCAGTTTAGTGTCACAATGGATTCCATTGTTCCATGGGGCACTGCAGTGCCACAATGGATTACACTGGTTCCTAGGGGACCATCAGTGTGACAGTAAATTCCACTGGTTCCACAGGGCCCTGCAGTATCACACTGAATTCCATTGGTTCCATAGGGCCCTGCAATGTCACAATGGATTCTGTAGTTCCATGGGGCCCTGCAGCATGACAATTAATTCCATTTGTTCTGCAGGGCCCTGCACTGTCACAGTGGATTCCATTGTTTCCACAGGGCCATGAGGTGTCACAATGGATTCTGTGGTTCCATGGTGGTATACAGTGTCACCATGCATTCCAATTCCCCATGGGTCCATGCAATATCACAATGGATTCCATTGGTTCCATGGGACACAGCAGTGTCACAATGAATTCCATTGTTCCATGG